AAATTAACGACGATGAAAATTTCCAAGTCGACCGAGGAGTGAAACCGAAGGGTGCGGTTCTCTTGCACTTTGCGAGGCGAATCGACGAAGCAAGTCGATTCAATTTCGGCTGCGTATCGAGTCACTTTTCGGACAGCGTGGCGTACGTATCTGTGATAGCGAATGAAATAGTTTGCTGAAATAGAGGCTGTAAATTTTTTCGAAACGTATTTGTAGACGCGGCGAGGGGAGGGAGGATGGAGCCGGCCGTGTGCTCGGTGCACGGCCGGCAATAACCGAGTCGATTCTCTTTATAATTTTGGTTTCACAACACGTACAGGTGAAGTTAACGTGCCGTGCAAGAGGCGTGCCTCCACCCAGCATATCGTGGCGCAGAGAAGACGGGAAGAACATTATAATTCGGAAGCCATTTGCAGGAACCGCCTTGAACCAGAAGTCTCACGGTAAGATTTAATATAGATGACGCTCCAACCATTTTGCCGATATAACGTGGAATATACAATTATGCTTTCCTCGGGCCCGGTCGCTGGTATGTTTCACTTGGTATTTTAATTTCCTTATTTCACCGCGAAACCATCGCGCGCGCCCCCCGCCACCGACGACTCGCCTGCCAGGGAAACGTAACTTTCGCGAAATTGTTAGGTAACACTTTGTGCAACACGTTCCGAGCATAGGAATCGATAGGAACGCCGAGTCTTGCCTCTTTCTTTCCAGTCCCCGTCTTTTTCGATTTCGATTCACCCGCCAAATTGCTGTCCTATTTGAACACGTTCGCGCGCGATTTCGGGATCGATACACACGAACGGTAAACACGAGCTACGATATCAACAAAGAGAAAGTTCTTGGCAAACTACGAAACATAACGCAATTATTTGCCTCATTCTTCCGACACGTCTCAGTCGACTCGGATTCTTCGACGAATTCGATCGCAGTTGGATGTCGAAGAAGAAGATCCAACGTTAAAACGAAGCAACTTTAATTTTTTCTCGTTCTTCGAAATATATATAACGGGGTCGCATCGCGTCGAGGTACAAAACAAAATGGTCGAACGAAACGTCGTCGGTGGAACACAGGCCGATCGACGGACAGTTTCGTTCGTGAAAATCGTGAAATCGTGAAATCGTGAAATCGTGAAATCGTCGATGCTGGATAGAGAAACGTCGCGTCGAATCGCGGCTACACGCTGTACGTCGCTTCGTCTATGCTTCCGCCTAAGCGACGTATTTAGTATTCACTCGAGCGTGGCGTTACTAATAGCAGGCGAATTACAGCGCACTGTCGAGGATACTACCGTGGCGTGGCGATGCGCGATGTATGGCGAGTGCAAGCCTCGCGACGCGACGACACGTGCCAAGTGCCAAGTGGTTGTAGCTGCAACGTAAACGGCCGGGGCTGGCTGGCTGGCTGGCTTATTGTTGGTCTACAATGTTGATAATTACTTATTCGACAGGGGTGGGAAGGGTCTATCCTCACGGGGAAGAAAAAGTTGCCGAACAAACTGCAGGAGGTTCAAGCAATTTGATTTCTCGTTTCTTGAATACGCGCGTTGTTTCTTTCGCTTGCATCGTTTATATTTTTTATACCTGCGTTAACTGCAGGTTAATATTACCGAATGTAGCGATAACGTTATTCACTTTAATCTTTGTCTGCGTTCGCGTCACAGCGTCGAACCATTAAAAGGTGAAGTCTGATATTTCGTGATCCATCTTTTCTTTTTCTTTTTTTGCAACAACAAGTCTCGGAGACTTGTCGTTTGTACGATACGCTTGATATTGTAGTATATCGTAGCTTCTACATATAGTTGTATACGATGGATAATCATCGAACCATTAAAACGTTCCTTAAATCGGTCGTCGTGTTGCATTTCCAGTCTCGTCTTTAATTATATTGGTTCGTTTGTTCGGTGAAATTTCCAATTTGTCGAAGGGACGGTAATCGTGCGAAAAATCGCAGGCGCTGCACCTAATTTTGCATATAATTACCGATATAGTTACCGACTACTCGCCGGCGCAATTTAAACGGGACTCGATGATTTATGATTTATAGACTCGTTAATTAGCAATTTCCGGTGGAACGGAGTCAGTTGGACGGTTTTCCGCAAGTTGCCTTTTCGGTTGTAATTTTCTCGGAAAATGATACGCGCCGGCAACTTATTTGGCGAGTCGGCCAGCCATTTTATTTTACTTTTCGTTAAAATATGGAATTCCTCGCGAACGTATATAAACGTATATAAACGCGAAATGGAAGATAATTCAACGAAAACTCGAACAGTCGATGATACAACGATGTCGTTCAAAATTGCTCGCAAGTTTCGCAAATTTTCGTCTAAAAAAACGTATTTTCGTAAAATATCTCGCGGCTCGCGGCTCGCTCTCAGCTGCAAAAAGACGTCTATTCTAGAGATTTAGAGCAAAGAGATTTGATTACCGTGGCTAAACGGTGGGGAGAGCATCTGAAACGATAGAAGATGTAACATTGTTTCCGTAATGAATCCTTACGGACAACAACTTTGACAGGAGGAACGACACAGCCTCGAGCACCTTCGTAAATTTTAATAATGAAAATTTCTGCGTAACAACCGTAGATTTTAATGGCATTGTTAACACAGATTTCTATCCATCTCCAGCTAGAGAATACCGTGATTATTAATGAAACTCACGAGAAACGCACGATGTACGTTTGCTGCGAGCAAACGATCCTATTATTTTCTGCTCTTGTAGTATAATTAAATGAGGAATTACCAGTTTTGCGCGAACCAACGCTCCTCCTTTGCGTCTCAAAATTTCAAGCAAATCGTTAGTTTCACGGCGCACGGGTCCCGGGCACACGGCGAGGCACATTAAGAACACGTAAGAATAGTGGAATATTCTGGTTGGCACGCAGGAGGAGAAAGAACAGCTGCAACAAATTGCATTAAAACGCTTACTTTATTCTTTCGGCCAGTCGTTTTCTTCTTATTATTCGTTTTCGTCTAAAACGTGGAGAAACGCCTGTACCGCGCAATTAAAAAAAAAAAGCTCGAACACAGTCAGTTGTTTTTACGCGTTTATATAATGGGGAACGTTGGGTCGATATCAAAGTTACCTCGACTCGGTGACGACGAGTTTCGATATTTTCGTATAAGAAATATCAGAATGCAATCGGGCAAATTTTCCATGTTTTTTCGTTTTAAAATTTCACGTTAAACTTACGACTCGATTCGTAAAGTATTGACGCGACGCGAGCCGAGGCAAGTTTTTTCCCTTTAAACTTTTCCTCGTTGCCTCGTTGCTGTCCGTGCACAGCAGGGGGGGCGGGGTGCATATTGCACATGTATCGCGCATAAAAATGATTAAACAGCGTAACGATGCAGTTGGTCACAGTTGCGTACGATCGCTTACGGAGATTCTTCTCGTTGAGACTCGTAGTGAACGATCAAAGAAATGCTTGCGTTTCACGCCTGTATGTACGTGCGAAATCGTGCATACGATCAAAGAAGATGGAATATAAAAGACGATAATAAGATAATAGATAGAAACAAGACGCAAATTGTATCGTGTCGCGAGACTTGCTTGTACCTGCGAGACGAAAGAGATATTCATTTTATTCGCCTGCGCGTTGTGTACGTACGTATAGACACATGCGTGCGATGCATTCACCGTAATGTGAGTAGCAGGTACGATTGAAAATTTCTGTCAAATTAATGTGAATTCGCATTGAGAAGATCGGTGGATTTATTGTTTGTGTGTGTATGTGTGTGGTTTAGTGACCTCGGTGAGCGAGTTCCACGGCGAGGAGCTGAAGCTGACAAAGATATCGAGAAACGAGATGGGAGTTTATCTGTGTATCGCCATCAACGGCGTGCCGCCAGCGGTCAGCAAACGTATTTCTATCAACGTTCATTGTGAGTAATAGTGATTACTCTTGCCGATAATTTATCGATTTCTTCCTCGAAACGGGCCAACTGCAACAGCACCGTCCTCCACCTTTCTCTACCATTACACAAATTCCACTTGGCATTCTCTTTCACAGTCTCGCCGGTAATTCACGTACCTAATCAACTGGTTGGTGCACCTCTGGGTACGGACGTGGTCCTGGAATGTTTTGTCGAAGCTTCGCCAAAGTCGATTAATTATTGGGTCAAGGATAACGGTAATGTCTCGTCGTAACGTTGCTCATTTAGCCTTGTATTTTCATGCCACTTTGCAAAAAACGCCTCGCCTTGCCACCTACCACGCTTCCATTCCCCCAATTGTTCGCGCATGTACATTGATACATACTCGGTCGTTTCTTCCTTTCTTCCTTTCTTCC